CGAAAAAAGGTAATGACCTTATCGGTAATTGAACCCGCGACCTTCCGGCTCGTAGAATAGTGCCTCAACCATTCAGGTTGTTTCACATGACGTTGTACTTGGAAGGAGGACAACGTCATGTAAAACAACCTGTATTCTTCAACATTATCAGCATTAAATACTGAAATTTGAGTATATAAGTTTGCTTTCGTCATCTTTGGTTACTCCTCCTAAAACTGCAGTTACAGAACCGCCTAACGTCTTACTGACCTTCTGCCTTGGTAACTAGAACAAGAGTCCAGGAAGGAATTTACAGGGCGCCATACAATATGCCCCACGCCTACAATTCTACCGCACAGTTATCTCTTAACCACCGAACCGTGAAGAGCTGCCTTCGCGTGGCTAAGCGTGAACCCTGGCCGCATGCGCAGAACGCACTGTTCCCTGTCTGTCCAAGTTCACACAGCGATAGCCGTCATCGACCAAACCCAAAAGATCTATACCCCTCTTTCTTATTTTGGGAAATACCGTTTCGAATCCCATCAGAGACTTGCTTGTTTTGGCACAAATCGGTTGTAATTTTGTCCATTCCTTCCACGCGGATACCTGAATTTAGACACGACAGCTTTCTTTAACATGTCGCCATATTTGTTTTTCGTCATTGGACGGTACATCGACGCAACAGTGGGCACAACTAAGCAACCCTAAGTCGCGTTCTCTTTTCACCGGGTAATCTTTTCACAGACTGTACGACATAGCTCAGTCCGTATAGGGACGGGCTGCGGGTTGGACGGCCGGGGTTCTATTCCCCGCAGCAGCAAGATTTCTCTCTTCTCCATAGCGTCCATACGGGCCGTGGGGCTCATCCGCCCTCCTATCCAATGGGTATCTGGGACTCTTTCCTCGGAAGCAAAGCGCCCATGGCGCCAATCTGACCACTCAACTCCGTTCAGTGCCGAAGTGAAAAATGGTGGAGCGATAACTCCATGCCCCAATATGTCTTCATGGCATTCTAACTAACAAATTAACTTCATGGAGCTGAGCCCTTTTTAATAAGGTGCCAGTCGCGTAACTACTCAAGAACTTATCAACATTTTATGGAACCTGAAGGTTCATTACTGTGTTCATAAGAGCCCTCCACTGCTCTCTATCCTGAACCAGATCAATCCAGTTCTTATCACCCCATCCTATCTCTCTAAGATCCCTTTTAATATTATCCACACACCCGTATCTTCGTTTTCTTAGTGCTCTCTTTCCTTCTCTTTTTTTTCCCCCCAGTATCCTATATGCATTCATCTTCTTCTTCTTCCCAATTCATGCTACATGCCCTGCCCTCTCATCTCCTTTCGTGGCACATTGCTTAATTAAATATGCATAGGGGCAAATTTATTATTATTATTATTATTATTATTATTATGGCTCTACAGCTTTGTTGGGCCTTGACCGCTTTTTCAGTTTCTTGATCATATACACAGTCGCTAGTACTCCTTGGACAGGGGATCAGCGCGTCGCAAGGCCGCTCCCTACACACAGAATAGACGCACACAGATATCCATGCTTTGAGTGGGATTCGAACCTACGATCCCAACGTTCGTGCGAGCGAAGACAGTTCATGCTTTAGACCGCGCGGCCACTGTGATCGGCAGGGACATGTCCTACAGAATATGGTTTACAATTTAGTGTGCTTGGAATTTGCAGGACTACTTTAGTTCCTTCACATTTCCATGTATTACTGAGGGAATAAAATATAGGATGCCTTTCACACAGTCTCTCCTACTTTAATGACAACCTCAGCTTCATTTGTTATACCACAAAACAGACAGAGAATAGTAGGAGTATAAGCATTATAAGAGTAATTCTCTCTATCCGCAAACTGAGTATAAGCTATGCCGTGATTACAAAGACCCACTTAACATGGGCTTTCTTCCACATACTTTCCAATTAATTTTCTTCCAATCATTCGATACTACTGACATCATCATTAAATAAACAGGAAATACAAGTACAGAGTGATTCTAAAGTATGGTCGGGTTTTCTGTTTACATGCCACTTAAACCCCGACAATAATTTAGAATCACTCTCTATAATTCTAAACGTAGTTCCAGAACACTTAGTGAGCCAGGCAATCGGACGTTCAAGGGCCAGTAAGTAAGATAAATGAAAGGGAATGAGATATATCACCCTTTTCTTTTTAATTCCTCGCGAAACATTTCAAATAACTAATAATGTTCGCTGCAGAGCTTAATTGATAAATGTATACAAGGGTCAATCTTTGTCTTGTTCCGCCATCTTAACAGCCATATCGGTGGAGAAGAATATGGCGTCCTGTTAACGGGTTGCTGGTTAAATAATGAAGTTCGACTGCTTTATTATGCCAGTTTCCATTGTTTAAGGATTCATTCATCTTGGTGAGAGCATGGTGTACAGTTATCGTCCGATACAGTTATGCACCTAATGAATTCAGCGCTATGAATTTAATGGTATGTTTATTTGAGGGGCTGTCATATGCACGGTTCGTACCACATGGTCAGAATTCAGTTACTTCTGACGCGGTAAATTTAGGAACAATTTGCTTGTTCGTTTTCTGTCTTTTTTCTTCTGTCTTCCTCTCTCTTTCTCTCTCTCTCTCCTCCACCTCTTCTTTCTTTCGCTGCATAACACAAACCAAGTCGGTATCATGGAATATTGTGGTAGAGAGTTATACGTAATATGCCTTTGCATAGAAGCAGTTTCCATTTTAAATTCATGTACACTCTCATTTTGGCTGCTATTTGGAATACTGTAGTAAAAAAAAAAGAAAGTAAAGTATCCCTGTAACAGACCGTGGAGGCCCATAGGGCTGTGAGACGTCGAGGCTCCCATACTTTCNTGAGATGTTGAGGTTCCCACATTTTCTCTAGAAAATCGGCTCATAGTTGGCGGTAAGGTTGTCAGCCTTACGCGTCGGCCGCCCGTTACTCCTAGGAATATTCCTGGTACTCATTTCTCTTAGAAGCTGAGTCGACCCCAGGGTCATAGTGTGGCTGGAAGGATTAGGTAAATTGAAAATTCCACCTCATCTGGATTCAATCCCGCGACCTTCCGGCTTGTAGCATAGTGCCTCAACCAACTACAGGTATGCTACCGCATGCCCCCAGGATAGCTTATGTAGAGTTGGGGAGAAGGCTCCACTCGTAACAGCTCATATCTCCACCGCCCCGAGAATTGTTTAGTCGGTTCAACAATAGAAATATCAAGAACATTTTTCAGTTGAGTTTGTTTATTTACGATGTTCTAGTAGGCCTAAATATTGAAGTTACATTGTACGAAATGGGGAGGCGGGATAGCTCAGTCTCGGTGTTGTGACTGGCTACGGGCTGGACGACCGAGGGGTCGGACTTCGAGTTCCGATGAGGACAAGAATTTTCACTTCTCCAAGTCATCCAGATCGGCTCTGGGGTTCACCCAGCCGTCTATCCAATGGTCACCGAGGTAAAGCGGCCGGGACGTGAAGCTGACCACTCATCTCCAAATAATGCAGTGGTCAATATATCCATTCCCCCATACGCTTTCATGACGTAGTACTTAATTAGTTAAGTGCAGTGGCAACTTTACCTTTCTTTCCTACTTTAAAATTAATTTAGTAGTCTTCATTACAACATTACCACTATATCATGCAGTGCGTCATGTCCACTCTTCTCGGATATACAGCATATAATGGAAACCTGTATCCCGTACAAGTCAGAGGAGAATTATTTTAGATTTTATTGCAGTTATTCCTCATTCGGAAGATTATTTAAAAATGATAACTGTGTTTCATAAGTTTCAATATTTGGACTTAAGAGAGATGAAGTGACAGGAGGTTGGAGAAAACTGCATAATGAGGAACTTCATAACTTGTACTCTTCTCCAGGTATAATTAGAATGATCAAGTCAAGAGGGGGCGGGATGGGCAGGGCATGTAGCACGAATGGGGGAGAAGAGGCATGCGTATAGGATATTGGTGGGAAAGCCAGAAGGAAAGAGACCACTGGGAAGACCAAGGCATAGGTGGGTGGACAATATTAAAATGGATCTTAGAGAGATAGGATGGGATGGTATGGATTGAACTGATCTGGCGCAGGNGCGTGCCATCAGTCCCGACTCAGCCAGCGAGTTCGGCTTCTACTGGCTCAGCGGTATTTAGATGCTTCCCCCATCTACCAGAGGCGTTAGAGACTATTGTTGGGCGGGAAATGTCCTTAATTTAGCTCAGAGACCTCCTTGAGGCATGAGGTTCTTTTACGTGCCGTAAAGCTACGACACGGGACCCACGGCTTAAAGTTCCTCCCTGAGGACTTGTTGCCTGAATTTTCCGCCCTTAAATATTCCAGGACCTCCGCCGGGTTTGAACCCGCGTACCTTGAGTCATGAGGTGGGAACGTTACCCCTAGACTACGGAGGCCGCTTAAGTAAGTAAGTAAGTTTCAATGTAATCTATATTGAATGCAGGGTACCAACTTTTTGACACGGTGATGGGGCTTCTAGAAAAAGTAATAGAACTACAAATTTTATGTAAATTAGAGGCTATGTCACATCGATACGTGTAAGAACACGAATATACTCAAATTTTGTTGCAGAACTCCAGTACTAAATTTCATCGGTATTCGTTAACTACTATCAGATATGGCACATGCGGACTGGCAGACGCAGTCTCTCTGTATGTACTCATTTCATATGCTTCCTGCAAGAATGTGCATAAAACCCAAACTCCAAACCTGCTTAACAATACAAAACACGAATAATATTACCATCTCAGATGTAACACTGTATGGTCCAATAGAAGTTCATCGACGTTTCGGATAAACATACCGCTTCTATTTTCATGGTCGATAAATTAGCCAAGCAATTAGGCATTCAGACGTAAGGGGTTAAGAAAACAAATGTTTTTTTTTCGAAACATCTGTGAAATTGTACCAGACTACGTGGCGTCATATCCCAGAAGTCAGCACTCTTCATTGTCACCACTGTGATAACCTCAAACCCAACACTACAAAACTTACCTGAACTGATGCGTAGACAATGAGAGTTGCACTCAATTTGACGAACATCATTTGTCTGCACATGCTTGGAGCTTCTCTTCATGAAATGATCGCAGTTTCACGGATCCTATAACGATGACACACCGCACTTAATTTATATTCCTCGCCTAAATAGTTTGTTCTGCGTATTTAGTCTATCGAGCACTTCGAAGAATTCAACCGCAAGAATTATAGTCCAGCTGCTCAAAAGAATAAAAACATTTACGAAACACAGTTGTTGGGATGTCTTTCTTGATTTCTGGAGATAAATACGTTGCAGTGATATATAAATAAATATGTTCACAAAACAAAAGATATTACTTCAATGACAAACATTATGTCGCATGTAATAAATCATTTTATTAATTAAATGCAGTTTTAGTTCCTGCCACTGGTGCAAATTTTATCTTATGTACAGATAAGATTTTTTTTTCATTTCAGTCTTTAGATTTTTCATGGGAATTTGGAAAGGTACACAACTCTACAAAATATTCGTATCTCAGATTGTAAGTATGAGGTAATCCAAAAACCATAATTCTGATATAGTCCATGAGCTAAGCTTTAGAATACTTACATATCTTCCCGAAAGTTTAATTGTTACTTATGTATCCCGTAAGAGTTTTAAATATCACAACAATTAAATAGTTTTGAAAGCGTCGGCACTTTTCACATTCACTTGTTTCGGACGTGGCGGTCAGAGCCTGCTTGCGAGAACTTGAGGAATCACGCGCGCACGAACAAGTGAGAATCGCTGGCTGCAGACGACTGTCATGGCCCGTCGCGCTACGCTTGCTGCGATGTTAATACCTCTGTGTACTGTTACTTCAGCATACTGCTCAATCTAACGATCCACAATTCGACACTAATGGGTGACAAATTGCCGGTAAACATCTGCCGACTGCTTCAACAGCTGTACTCGGCTACAAAGTCAGTTCACGTAATTTTTGTGTCTATTCAATGTATATAATTAGTGATACTGACTGTCATGATTGAATGGTTAGAACGTCTGCTTCGTATTTGCAGGGTTCCGGGTTTGATTCTCGGCTGACTATAACAAGGATTCTTTCCAGGTTTTACTCTCAGCATAGAAATAAACGGAAAACACTTCGAAATAGGTCACTAGCTCTTCGTACTACATTCTTCACAATCAGAATAATCCCGTTGGACGTCGTGATAACCTTGCAGTTGAGAAACTATAGTGGAACCGGATAAAGAATTCTCATGGAGCGTCCCTTACTCCTTCTACTCCCCCATCCTGGGCTCACCTTACTCTACGTATGTCTATTCTGACACTCATATTGGCTGGATAATTCGTTCTACACTAACTATAGGTGATGCACGTATGTGGCCAGCGGTTCTGAGGAGCCTCTAAATTCATCACCCACGGGAGGGCATCATCATATGGAACAGAATTCTATAGACCCTCACCTAATAGCATCCTTTATCACCACCGCCGGTGGGAATTCTTTGGTCGACTCAGCTGTGCTTAACGTGTTTTGTCTCTAATTCAAAACTAAAAATATCGATTGAAGGTAAAGAGCGCTATCTCATGCGACGTGAAGGCGCGTAATCTGCTAGATTATTGGCGTTTCGGAGGGACATATTACTTACATCTTCAGGTGGAGAAGCAAATCGAGTAAGCAAGCAAATTAAGGCAAATGTTGATAAAGCAACACTGATAGTTGAAGGGAAAACCTGTTATATCGCCAATCTACTTTATGTGTTTACTCTTAGATCTGAAGATGGAACGAATACGTTCCTCCGAAACGTTGGTAAAGTTTTGCGTGTTTGCACGGAGACATATGCCAGGAGATAGTACGCCACGAGAACTTTAAATTCCACATAGACTGAGGGCATTTAAGAACAAAATGCCGAGGAGAATATTTGGATCCAAGAAAAGGGAAATAACAGGAGACTGAAGGAAACTGCATTAGGAAAATCATCATTTGCTGGATATGAGGTTCCCACGGCGTGACTATGAAGGTTACCTTCTTCACTATCGTAGTTTTAAACTGGATGTAATGTTTTTAAACGATTAAGTAAAATATGTAATAAACAGGACATGTAGTAAGTATGGGAGAAAATAAGTGCATAGAAAACTTTGCTTGGAATACTTTAGCGAAGAGACCACCTGGGAGTTTTAAGGGAAAACAACGAAGTAATATGGAACGTACAGTAGACAAATGGAAGCTACGGACATGTTGGGCTCGATTGAAATTGTTCAGGGCAGAAAAGTTCTGTCTCCTGGGTGATAACCAACATGCGTTTCGAAGGAACATCACCTCCATCATCTGGGTAAGACAAGCAATAAACCAGCACAAAGCAAGCTCCAATCAGATCCCTGTTTTCTCTCTGCCTCGTGCTGCTTTGGCTTACTCTTCGAACCCTAAAATGTGAGCGATCGAGGAAAATCACGAAAAAATCTCTGCCGGGATAATCTGCACCCCGGCCTAAGTTCGAACCGAGGCTTTCCTTAATACAATTCAGCCAACTTGGTTGTTTGTCATTCATAAACTACTACATAACGTGATGATAGATCTCTATATGGTCCTAAATGCAAATAAATAAGTAAATAAGCATACAGATAATAATGTATGGGCTTCGATAGCTCAGTCGGTATAGTAAGGGTTACGGGCTGGACGGCCGAGTTTAGATTCCCTGCTGAGGCAGGTTGTTTTTATCCTTTCCACAGGGTCAACACCGCCTCTGGAGCCCACCCGGCCTCCTACACAATATATACCGGAGGTAAAACGGCTGAGGCGTGAAGCTGACGACTCACCACCATCTAGTGCCGAGTCCAAGATGGCAGAGCTGTAATTTCTCCCCCGTTATGCATTCATTACTTGGAGCTTAATTGTTTATGCACAAGGACAACGATTTACTTCTACCCTTTCATGCAAGTATAATTTTATTTTGGAGAATTTTGTATAGTCATGTGATATAAAGTTAACTATATACGAACTGGCCTATGAAATATTGTGACGAATATGACCATTTGCTAGGCAACGGCTCGGTGAAAACCGTCTGAAAGCCGGAATATGAACGAACAGAAGTGGAAGTCCATTTGCTAGAGAACGGCTTGCTAACACGCGTTGCCACTGCAACGGATATTAAAAAAGACATTCCCGTAACAACGGAAGAATGAACTAACTGTTCGAGGTTGTGGTCTCTATTCAGTTCTCCCGAAGTTATAAAAGAGAGTTCGTTCGTGAATTTGGTGGATTATTTCGTAAGGGAGTTCAATGCGTGAGCGTGATTCACCTTCTTCATTGGTCGCAGTGGAAGGAAAGACATTAGTAGGCCAGCAAGTCGTGGGCAGTCATTGATTGTGAGTTCTCAAAATTGGTTTAATTGTAATAGAAGTGCCAAAAATTCCAATCATCAAATCCAGAACCCATCATTATTTGTCACGACAACCCCGAGACGTGACAGTATCTACGCGTTCCTATACCGTAGGTTTATAGCTGATTATACTTTTTCAGTAATAGGTCTACATATATAGGACCTTACCTAGTGTCTTGTCTTTCACTAAAAACCGCCCAGTTTTTTCTTTCAAAACACAACGTTTCGGATACTTGATTCTGTCTCCGTTTTCAGGTAAAACATACTCAGTTGGGCCCAATCGATAGAGCTAGTCCCTATCTCTGGAGATAGGGTTTTACCTAAAGACGGAGATAGAATCCACTCTCCGAAACGTCGTGTTTTTAAAAATAAACAGGACGATTTTTAGATAAAGACAAGACGATTGATAATGTCCAAAAACATAATATTTGAAGTAATGTACCATCTTCACAAACTTTTAGAACTTATACAGGGACCGTCTACAATACATGAGTATAAGATCGTTATGTAAGAATATATAATTAAATTTTCAAAGAATATAGAGTGTCCGGATGAAAGGTATCCAAAATAAAAATAAAAAATTATATCTCGGAAACTAATTGTCATACACGTATTCGCTTTCTGTCATCGAAAAGGAAAACTCTGAAAGTTCTTTTTCTTTTCATACCCGGCTTACGCGCATGCGCCGCCACATTTTTGCCACCATGTTAGGAATCACCTGGACAGAGAGATGGCTGGGCTACGAATTGGCAGAGGTGGACCAATCGCTTGACCTCCTAGGTCGCCAGATTTAACCCCAGTGGATTTCTTCTTGTGGGGTTATGTGAAGAACATTGTCTGCCCGGTTAAGATCAACGATCTTCAACACCTGGAAGCTCGAATAAGGGACGCTGTGGTTACGGTAACACTAACCATTCTTCAAGCCTGGATATTTGTCGTCACACCAAGGGAGCCCACATTGAAATGTATTGAGAAAATTATATATGCAGAAAGAACTTTGATAGTTTCCCTTTGTAACGGTGTAACTCATTAATGTGTATAATAAATTCTTTCTGAGATATGATTTTATTTTGGATGCCTTTCGTCCGGACACCCTGTATATATCGCACTGTGAAACTGGATCCTTACTTCCACTTCCGTCTTCATTCGAATGCCGATAATTGGCAACCCAGTCTTTCAACTTCCTTGAGTGACGTTAAAACCAGTTTGTAAGAAAAGAGAACTAGTTTCTTTACGAGGGATGATAAACCGGCTTAAAGAGAAACTAGAGTGCTTCCGCCTGTAGACTGCTGACAGAAACTACAGCTCGAATGGGGTAAATATCTCTCTGAATTGTTCTCACGCGTATGTTGTTACGTATTTAGTGTTTGATGGTGGGAAGGGGGTAAAAGCAGAGGAGGAAATGTGTAGTTTATTACAAAGTTTCGCGAGCCATGATATCTCCACAATATAGCTAACAGGCTACAGGTAGGATGACCAAGGAATCGGAGTTCTAGTCCAGGCAGTGGTAACAGATGTTTATTTGGATAGCGGCCAGACCGGCTGTGGGTCCCACCGAGCCTCCTATCCAACGGGTACCGGGGGACTTTTCCCCGAGGGTAAATTAATGAGGTCATGAAGCTGACAACTCATTTCCATCTAGTACTGAAGTCAATATGGGGGCACGCGGTAGCGTAGTTGGTTGAGGCACTTTGCTACAAGCCGGAAGATTTGCGGGGTCGAATCTCAATGAGGTGGATTTTTTAAATTTACCTAATACTTCCAGCCGCACTATGGCCCTGGGGGTCGACTCAGCCTCTAACAGAAATGGGTACCAATAATATTCCTGGGGGGCAAAGGGCGGCCGACGAGTAAGGCTGACAACCTCACCGCCATCTATGAGCCGATTGTCTAGAAAATGTGGGACCCTCAACGTCTCACAACCCTATGGTCCTTCACGGCCTGATACAGGGATACTTTTACCTATTTTTTTACTGGAGTCAATATGATGGATCTATTCTTCCACTCCCGCATGCACCTTCGTGCATTGGTACTTAATAATTTAGGCATATGGATAATTTATGCTTCAAATTGTTGTATATAGATTCGTGAAATCAACTTGGCCATTGACATACGAATCAACCAAATGCTAAAACGGGACGTTTTATTCTTAATCATTGCCAACTTCTGCTCTGAATATGCTCGCTTTTTATCTGATTCGTTCGAATAATCTCTCTTACTTCAGTTTTTTGAAATTCTAAACTAAATATCTCCATGTTAAGTGCCGTATTTACGCATGTATAGGCCGCACATTTTTTGCCAAAAATTCAAGAGGAAAACTGGGGTGCGGCTTATATTCGAAATATTCGAAATCACACTCATTTAAAAAAATATATATTCGTAATTAGTAAT